TTTTTTTATTTTTATTATCATCATAATCTTCTTTATATTACATTGGATTACATATAACTTTACATTGTATTACATTGTTTTTTCAAAAGGGAATGCCATGCATGTCAGTCAGTACAGAGACATTAATCTCCCCACTTCAACATTCCATATCTTTTCTGTTTTCCCCAATCATTATTTTTATTATTCTAATTATTTTTATAAAACAGTCAATTGCTATTTCTCGTTTTGCTTGTAAAAATACTTTGCCCATCATGAAATACTTCTCAGACCAATCCAGTTGAGAATACTATACATGTCATCATCAACAGTTAATAACCCCTATCTGTTTCTCACTAACGTCCTGTCTCTCTATTGTTCACTTGCTATCTTTCTGTATCCTCTTCTCTTCACTTACCCCATTCCACACTGTCCTATTCTCATTAAGTACCTTCACTGTGTTTATGTCCTCTGAATTTTTGCTCTCTATTATAGAGTGCGGATAGTCGGTATATATTGAGTGGATACATACATTGAGAGCCATTCTTGAAAATAATGTCTAGAGCCTTAATGTCTGGATGGCTATGAGATTTAGATACTGGGTGATCACTGTTCTTCTCTCAATGCCTAAGTACCTTTTTCCCTGCCTGCTCTCTCTCCCTTCCTCCTTCCTTTCTTTTTTTGTGGGGAGTATATATGTGTATGTGTGTGTGTGTGTGTGTGTGTGTGTGTATAGTATATGTGGCATTTTAGACAAGGTCTTGCTGTGTTGTGATCCTCCTGCCTCAGCCTCCCAATTAGCTGACATCACAGGCATGAGTCCCCATGCCTAGTTCTGTAGTGTGGGCCAGGAATCCATCCTGGACCTCCCAAGTGGCCCCAGCCAGCCAAGCAGAGTGTCCATTGTATATTATAGCTGGGCCACCCTGCCATTTCTTTCTTTCTTTTTTTCTTTTTTGAGAGGTTTTTGCTACAGGGCGCGTGCGCTCGCCAAAAAGACAGAGAGAGACAGACAGAAAGCAAGAAATCACCCCCCAGGGGGGATGGCCATGCCACAATCCCTTCTCCATTCTCCTCTTGGGATCTTGGGCATGCACACACATGCACCCGGCGTGAGTTTAAGCTGCTGAGTCCAGGACTTGAACTGCGGTCGATTATGTGGGAGTCCAGCGACATAGCCATTACGCTAACTGCTGGTCCCTGCCATTTTCTAACATCAGAGAACTTGACTCACTTATATGCCAGAGCAAAATCACAAACTCATGCATATTGTAGACCTTTAGGGTCACTTGCATATAGTTGAACAATAATGTGAAAGTGCCAGTGTCCAAAGTCTAGTGTACTTACCTGTGTTTCTTAAATATACCACATGTTAATGCTCTAGGTAATGCTCTTTTTCAGTACTTTTCCTATTCCTATGTTAGTTACTCCATAGTTGTTCCTATCTTAGTTCTTGGGTTTGTGTCTTATTTTCCCCACTGATTTCCAAATCCTTTGAGAGTAGAGGAACCATGTATTCCTCATCTTTTTGTATATTCCCAGGGTGAGTGTTCTAGGGCTTTGCTTTTTCAAGTGAGCAATGAAATCCTTTTCTGACTTACCATCCTGTTGACTTTCCATGGATTTTAGGGCTATGGAAGGTGGTTAAACTTGAATTTCTGCTTTAGGGCAGGGCCACCATATTCAGAGTACCTTGGACTTTAGAGAAGATGGTTTCCATGACCTCTAATTAATATGTTTCATTGATCTTCTAAATTTTTTTACATGTAGATTTCCTATTTTGAAATACTATACTCCTCATACAATTAAAAATGATCCATTAAATGATTTTAAGTTTAATAGCTGAAAAGAAGGTAATTTCTGTCATTATTGTAGTGTACACTTATCTCACACATTTGCTTGTTAGTTTTGCATTTGCAGATTAAAGTCATTTATTGTATGTAAAATGTCTACCAAATAGCCCAACTGCAAAAACTAATCTGCATTGTTAAGTCAGTTGGCCACGTTAGGCTTAACTGTCAGGAAAAGTCTGAATTTATTTATTTAAAAAAAATTTATTTATGTCTTTTATAAGACTGGGGGCACCCCTGACTGGGTCTTGTCATGTTGTAGTCCCCTTCCCCCAGTCCTCCAGCTACTCGGGATCTTCGGCACATGTGCCAGTGGGAATCTGAATCCTGGTCGGCCACCTGGCTTCCAGCACTGTAGATCCTTATGCTACCACCTGCACCACTGAGGCAGAGCTCGACTTTATTTTTAAATTCAGATAAATTTGTTAAGTATGTCCTATGACATCAATGTATCATAGTTTTAGTTGTCTGTATTAGACAGAAACAGAAATCAGTCACAGAACCATGCTTGTATTTATTTTGTGATTGAAGCAAGGTCAGTTCCCTTTATTGAATTTTACCCAAATGCTCTTACTTCCACTTTTTGGAAAAGCGTCTTGTGGAAAAGCCTGTTTTGCCCCTTAATTAGGAACACTTAGATTTTTTTTTATGCCCCTGAATGTTGTACCATGAAAAGGTTTGTGATATATTCCTTATGCAAAGTAGGAGAAGGATGATTGTGAAAGTTGAGGCAGTTTAATTTTAGGAATAAGAACATTCAAGAAATTGAATCCTTACTTCTCCTTCCTGTTGGGATTTTGAGCATGTTCATAAGCCCGGTGTGTTTTATAAGCTGCTGGGGCTGGGATTCCAACTATGTGTAGCCATGTGGATCTGGCTCCCTTAGCCATTAGACTATAGGGCTGACTCATAGAAAGTATTGTTACTAAAACCCCTAATTTCTCCTTCACTGCCTTTCCTAATTCATTTTCCCCAAGTTTTTTTACATTTTATAACTATTAATCTCTCTTCTTAAAAATTTTGTATAGCTCATAATTCTCACAAAATTTGTTGGATTATATCACTTGACGAGGCCTATTTCTCACATCTTCTCTCTTGCCCCTTGATTATATTTGGGCTTTTCTTCTTGTAGTGCCTTCAGCTTCTTCTCTATTATAGTTGACTTTCTTCTTCCTTTACAGCTCATGCTGGGCAGGTTACCTGCGTTGCTGCCTCTCCTCACAAGGATTCCGTGTTTCTTTCATGCAGTGAGGTGAGATTCAGCCCCTTCTTCCCTAACTACATCCCAACCCTTACAAGCCACAGTGTCCAGTGTAGAGACCACCTGGCCAACAGCTACTCCTTTAGATTGTGAAGCATTTATTCTGTTCCTCTTACTTCTAGGACAACAGAATTTTACTGTGGGATACCCGCTGTCCCAAGCCAGCATCACAGATGGGTGAGTCTGAGAGCCATGGAAAGGGTGCTACCAGGAACCCACCTGGAAGAGGCTTTCTTTGGTCAGAATTAAAGCCAAAAAAAGTGGCAAATGTCCAGTCACTGTGACATAAGTGACATAATCTCCTCGTTTCCCATTGAGGCTCTGCTAACCCCAGTCCATGCAGAGAGTATCAAGAGGAAGGGCTGGTTCCTGAGTGAGGGATTTCCTTTCGTTAGTCGGGCGGACAAAGGAGCCAGAGTTGTTCTCTTCATGCTTCGTGCTTGAAACCTGCCTGTGACTCGTGTCCAGAAAGGGCAGGGGGCTGGCGGATAAATGGAGACTCTGAGGCCCAAGGATGAGGTTATTACTGCTTTAACAGAGTTTGGGAAACTGAAAAAAGGTGCTCCCAGAACTCAGTGCCTCTGTTTTGTTTCAGACCCTTCTTCTCTCCTTTTTAGGCTGCAATGCCTCTGGCTACCTTCCTACCTCACTGGCGTGGCATCCTCAACAAAGTGAAGTCTTTGTCTTTGGTAAGGCGGGACGTGAGACTGCATATGGACGCTGGGAAGGGGGCAGATGAGGCAGAGCTAAGTGTGTGGTCATAGGGCTCTTACTGTTCAGTCTTGTCAGCACATTTGGGCACTGGCTGAATTGTGTTGATTGAAGGGTGGGGCACTGAGGTGATCCAAAGTAGTTTGTATTTGGAGAACATGATGATTTTTTTCCTCTTGGATTTGATTCTTGATTGATTGTTCAGGCTCCTTTATTCTAGTCATGATTAAAAGTAAGTGAGCCACAAAGTGAGTAGATGGCTATGTGGAGAATTCTCTTCTACTGTGGGTAGGTGTGATGCTGTCATGGTGACAACCACACATATGGTGACTTAGTTTGTGATTAAAATAATAACTACGTTAGACATTAATTTAATTTTCACAACCACCCAGTGATTTATTATTTCTGCTTTGTAAGAGAAGAAACTGATGCCCAGAGTGGTTATCTTGCCCAAGTCTGAGAACTTGGATTTTAATCTAGGCCTGGCTGACACAAAGCCCGTGTTCTTAACCACTATGACCTGGTCCCTCTTTTTCTCTCTCTTTTATATAGGTGATGAGAATGGGACTGTAGGCCTGGCTGACACAAAGCCCATGCTCTTAACCACTGTGACCTGACCTTTTTCTCTTTTTTTAAATAGGTGATGAGAATGGGACTGTCTCCATTGTGGATACGAAGAGTGCAAGCTGTGCCCTCAGCTCAGCTGTGCACTCCCAGTGTGTCACTGGGCTGGTGTTCTCCCCACACAGGTACTGCGCTTCGTCCTCAGGGTTCAGTGGGTATGAATGAGAGCAGCAAGGGGAATGTGTATTTTGGCAAAGAATAGTTGATTAGGTAATTTGTTAAAACAGTGCTCTAGCAGAGGTTTCAAGCTAGCTCTTTTTTGAGTTATATAGTCTCTATCTAAAAATGGCCAAAATGTGATCTTGTTCCTGATCGACACCCAAAATGATTAATATCGTGGGCTTCTAGGACTGTGGATTTGGAAGAGCCTCTGTTTTGAGGTTATTGCTGAAGCTATACAGAGGGACCAGGTGGGATGGATAGTTGCCAGGATGGTTGACAGTGTGGCTTTGCTCCATTTGCTCGTCTTCTGTTGGACTTGAGTAGTAGCCAGACCTTAGCCAAATGTACAGTGGGACGGGGCGGCCCAGTCGGTTTTGTCTTGGGATCCATGGGCTTTACCTTTCACTATCCTTTCCTTTCCTCCCAGTGTTCCCTTCCTGGCCTCTCTCAGTGAAGACTGCTCCCTTGCCGTGCTGGACTCCAGCCTTTCTGAAGTGTAAGTGTGAACTGACATCCTGTGGTCAGGAATCAGGGAGAGGGAGCAAAGGGTAGGCAGGTATCTTTTCTCTTCAGAAAAATGCATTCTCTTTGGAGGGAGAATTCTCCACCTGTGTCTGGGGAAACTGGGTGATAGAAGTAGGCAGACTGCTGGCTGTCTCTCTGTCTTTGGGGCAGATTCACAGTCAGCTGTGTCCCTGGGAGAAGAGGATTGTGGGTGGAATTTCTGTCTGGCATTCCACCCCTTTCTCACAAGGGGGCAGCCTCCTGTTTTCACATGAGAACTACACATATGAAATGCTACCTGCCATGGGGCACAAGGCACCAGGCAGAAGATCTGAATTATACCTCCTTTGCTGCCTGATTCCCACCCATGTTACTACCTCACTCTATCCTATCTCTTCATCTGAAAACAGGACAGAATTGGATGATCAATGACATCCACTGGAGATAGCCACACAGCTGTTCCAGTGATGGGGCCTTACAGACATGAGATGTGTAGAACACACCCTAAAAATGTGCCCTGGATGTGTTAGGTTCTTGTTCTACAGACCTGCTTTTGTCTTTACTATGTCCAAACTTTTTTCTTTCTTCTAGGTTCAGAAGCCGAGCCCACAGAGACTTTGTGAGAGATGCTACCTGGTCCCCGCTCAATCATTCCCTCCTTACCACAGTGGGCTGGGACCACCAGGTCATCCACCATCTTGTGCCCACAGAACCTCTCCCAGCTCCTGGACCAGAGAGTGTTGCTGAGTAGATCTGATTTAAGATGATGAGAAAACTCCCTAACCCATTCCTTTGTCTCCTCAGTTTGTGAGACAACACAGGAGCCTTTGAGAGTATGTTGATATATTATTAATAGATCTGGGCATTAGTAGATGTTGTCTCTCAGCCTGATGGAGGCTGGATTTTGAGATCCTATAGTCATGGGGAAAGAAAACTTTCTTGAAAATGAATGTGTATGTGTGCCTGAGTGTGTGTGTAGATTTATAGTTTTTGATGGTGGGAGGAATGAGAATCCATCCCATATCTTCCCCAAGCACTGTCCCTCCCCCCCCCCCAAAAAAAAGTGAGAGAAAGATATTA